GCTGCTGTTGCTTTGCTTTCTTTACCAGGCACATTTACAAGTCATTTACATATGCGACGGCTTAGCTCGCAGCTAAAAAAGCAACAGGGTAACACGGCAACAGTCAACAACAATTTCAACATGTTCCGTGCGGTCGGTGTTGCATTAAATTTTATGCTTACAAAGCCGCTTAAACAGCAACTGCCACAAAAGTTGCAGCTGTGTGAGTGAAGTTTGTTCCACGCGCCGTTTTGTCATTATAGAAAACTTTACGGTTAAGCTCGGGCTAACATTTGTACAAAAAAACAACTTGGGTTTATTGAAAGGCATGACCTTGGCATCTAATTGATGTTTGAGCCTTTATCTAAAATTATTTTTTTTTTTTAATTAAGGAATTAGATTTATTTTAAGATTCGGGCTGCCTCAGCCCTTTACCATATTGGTCAAAGTAAAAGAGGTAAATGAACAATTACAATTACAATAATATTTTCTTACGCAAAATATAAGTTTCGCCATTTATTGCTTTCCTATCTTCGAACTAGAAAACTTATGAGAGTACGAAAATATTGGGCAGAGTGTCATCCAAGGGAAAATTATGGTAATTCGTATAGGGGATAAAAACAAAATTCACATGGAAGACATGTTTACTTTTTACTAAACTTTATTATTGTAAATAAACATTCTTATATTTCTATGATTGAAAAAGGTTTTAGTTCGGGAAATCGATTAGCAAAATTCCTAGTTGGAAATTGATTTCAACATTTTGTAAAATATAGAAAATTTTTATTCTGTTAACGAACCCTCCTTACTTGAAATCTGAAACTCATCCCCAACAACAAATGCACACATATTTTCTTAGAAATAGACTTGTCGCATGTCGCTTGATGCACACATTGGACTTTGATGTATTTTGCAAATGGGTCTGGAGTGTTATGGGCGAGCGCCGTTAAACCTCAGCACATGCATTTTATCCTGTTATACATATCCTAAATATTTATGCTGATATGTGTGCATGATATGTGTATCGGGTAGGTATAGCTCGGAGCCTGTGATGACGTCATGGGCTTGTGCTTGAGCGGGAGGGTCACGTAAAAGTAGCTCGTTAAAAATTGATGATGTGCATCAATGCGTGACGATATGGCTCTCAGGCTGAGCGACAGGCCGACACTTGGCCCACGCCCACTTAATTGCAGATATGGGGCGGGGTGGGATGCGTGGGGGTTGTAACTGGTAGCCCATCGGTGTTACCCTTCTTGGTTACACCTTGGCCACCATTTTGTGCTTCGAGGATTTATCAGCGTATTTGTTTTTAACATTTATGACATTTTAAAGCTGCATTAAAACTCGTAAAAAAGTCACAATAATAAAGCAAAAATATGATATACAACTTTTGCTAAATGTAAGCATATATCTGGGGGCACCTCTGTCTCACATGTGCGTGTGTACGTGTTTGTGTGTGAGTATGCAGTCGACTTGCTAACCGGAGCACTGATATATAAATATATAATGCATGTCAGTTTGGTTTTGTGCTTTGATTTAACAACGGCTGGTGGCAGCGTCGCTGATTTATAGCTATGCGGTGCCCCACTAAAAGTATGCCAGACAACCGCGGCAAGCTCTAAAGCTTGCGAGGTGCGTCTATAGAATCATCTAGCCTAGTGTCATCTCTAGCGGTCATTAATAATCGATAATTCATATGACTAGGGTGCGTTAAAAAAATAATCGAGCCCGATGTCATCTCTAGCAAAATGTACAATCAATTACTTATATAAGTAAAGCAAATAAGTAGGGTGACTCTAAAAAATAATCGAACCTTGTGTCAGCTCTAGCCATAATTTATAATCGATTACTTTTATTGGTATAATTGGTTTACAAAGTGGTCTAAATAATAACCGATACCGGTGACATCTCTAGCGATAATTTATAATCGATTACTTATCTTGGTACAGCTAAAATTTAATCGAGCCTGGTATCATTTCTAGCGATAATTTATAAAACGGTTCGTCTTAAACATAATCATCTTCAAAATAATAGTCAGTGTCATCTCTGTCGATAATGTATAATCAATTAATATCTCTTGCGATAATTTATAATCGATAACATATAAATATGACCATCATCTCTAGCGATAATTTTTAGTCGATTACTTATGTTGGTACAGATGATAAGTAATTTGGGAAATACGTTGCAAGGAAGCTACGGAAGTTATTTAACTGAAAAAAACGTTTGGAATTTTAAAAGATATGTAGATGTATGTAGTACTTATCAGACGCCCCTCTCGTGGGCATGTATTAGTAAAGAAAAAGAGCAGGGCACAGGCTGCTGTTAGGCGTACGGAAATTTAATTAGGGCACAGACGCGTTCAGCGCTCCGAAAAGCATGCAACGAAATGTGAGAAACATGTAAAATGTATTTGAGTTCAACCTAAATGCATGCATTTAACGCCTGGCTACGCAGATAGGAGCGAAAGATGTAGCACACTTTCAGGAGTTGCGAACATAAAATCGGCCCTAAATTGAGGTGTATAAAAAGTTATGTGCATTTCAGAAGCTTGTGCGCCGAGAATCTGTTGGTAAAGAGATTTGTAAAGATTTAAAAACATAATTCTATAACAAAGCGACCAAAGTCCATCATCTTTTTTAAAATAACTTTCACGAGCATTAAAATTAATTATTAAGGCAAACTTCCTACCCAGTGAAACATGAACATTAGCTTCGCTTCTTTTATTCGACTGTTCAGATTGCATTGCAATGGACAATACATCGATCGACAATATCGAAGTTATTCAATTCAAGGAATGTAAGCAAAAATACTAAAAAGCGCTAACATCGGTACTTAATACCATATATATCTTTGCTCTGATTGACTGATTGATTGCCTGACTGATTGACTGATTAGATATTAATTGATTTGTGCTGTGAGGCCCAAGCCGTAAGAGCAGGTAAGTTAAAATATTCTATTCTATGTAGCTTATAAGTATTCACTTGAAATTGTGGAAAATTGGTTGAACATACATATGTATAAGTGTAAATAGCGTGTTTAGTAAATAAATTGTATTATATTTTGTATTCTGTATATATAGAGAGGTACTCATTCTATGCATTTAATTGTTTCTCTCTCTACGTCTTTGTTTATTTAAGGTTGTATATGAATAAAAAGTCAGTCTCCGTCATCTTCCTTGATGGCATTAAAATAATTCAACGTGTTTTCTTCAGTGTAAAACATATTTAAATATAGAAATATTTGTTTTATTTTTTACTGATTAAGCTTGATGTTAAAAACAAACTTCAGCACAAACAGAAGCTCAGCTTCACTCTCACATATATTGATGTTCTTTGTTTATCATTCAAATAATACTTTAAGCTGTAATTGCAGAAAATACTTTGCTCATTCGAGGATAGACTTCGTTTTACTTAAGCTTTTGGGTTGTTTAATTCTCGTGCTTCCTGGGGCAACTTTTAGCTAGCGTCTAAAAGCCAATTAAATCTCTAACAATAGGCATTCCTTTCAAAACTTTTTTCGGCAGAAAAAACTTCGGAGTAGTTTATGCAACGTCAACTCTGGGCGAGACTGTATTGATTGAGGTCTCTGCCCCATTCGGGCTTCGGGCTCACTAGCTAATTGAGTTTGGCAACAGTGTGTAAGATTACGCATACCACATGTGGGCGCACAAGTAACTTGCAGTTGCCGCCTGAGTTGTCAACCTTTTTTTGGGGGGCAATAAACAAAATGCTGACTATGTACATTTGTTTTTTACATGGCGGCACTCAGAAACCAAACTCAACGCATGCTATTTACCTAAAATATTACGCATATGCCACAGTTGCCAATGTGTATGATGTGCCAACACCAAAAAAAAAAAAAAAGAAAAAAACGCCCACGTGTGCTGAAAATGCTTTTGAACCTAATGGAAAATTCAACGCGTTTACCTTTTTTGATATACGAGCACGAGGCTAGCACTTGCTTAGGTGGTTGTTGAATGTGTGTGCTGTGGCAAGTCAAGTCAAGTATCAAGCAGCGGTTAGGCTTTAAAGAAGTCGTACTCAAGTGTCAGGACATGCGCCTAACACTTAACACCTAGCAAAACACAAAAACACAAAAGAAATTCGTAGAACATGACTATTTTTATAAAGTTAACGCCTAACGTTTCCTATTTCAACCAGCTTTAGCCCGAACCAGCTCGATTTCGGAATTCAAATTTATTTTCATGCATCGTTTGGTTCAAAATAAAAAATTATTGAGGGAGACCCATTCTAGAGTTATAAGTAACCCCAACCACTTGGGTTAGAGATCTGTAGAATTGATAATTTAAAATTGATTTATTTCAATGAAATATAGAAAATATATGAAAAACTAAACAGAAACAACTGGGTACATGGATGTGAGAAACCAATTTAAACAATTGAAGCCAAAAGCAGGAATTGAGCTCAATAAGTGAAACGACCCATTGTCTCTTTCTTTTTTGGCTTGCCGTACCAATTCGGCTTCGCTTGCCTTTCTAAAACTATTGTTATTAAATAATAAGCACAGACTTGCTTCTCTTAATTTACAACAAATTGAAACACAAGAAATAAAATCAGTTTCATTATTTCTAGTGTGGCAGCTATAAAGGACAATTCATTATTAAGATTAAGTTTGACATGCCCTTAAAAAGGAACGGATAAACATATTAGATTTGCAAATGTTACATGCGAATTTTGGTCTTCATTAAAAAGACAAGCGGACAGCGAGACATGGGTAAGCCGACTTCCTTGACCTTCTCTTTCATGGGTATAAATCGACCACTTATTTATAATCATTTAACCTTTTCTTACATATGCTCTCTTGTGCGAACACGGGGTAGAAAATTTTGTTTATATGGCAAATCGATACTTTTGATTGTTATATTATTACTTCATTTGGAACATTTATTAAAATTGCATTCATTCCAATTAAAATCACAAGCCCTTGCGATTTGGAAGTCTAAGCGAAATACTTGTTAAGGATGCATAGAAAAAAGATAGACTGCATTTTAAATAAAAGTACTTATATTGCTGTTACAAACGGCTCTGGCCTAAGAAAATGAATATGCAAATATTAAAAAAATTTCTAGTTTCTAATTTTGAAGCACTCTACTCGTTGCGTTCCGTAAGCAGCGAACTCTCCCACTTTTGCCAGATAGCCGAGGGCCTGAACTCTTTTATGCTCTCATGCCAGTGCGTAGATGCCTTGTCGGCTGATATTTGCATTCTTGGACTTGCTCGACTCTCGGATCCAGTGGATACCGAGCAAATCGAAATGTTATCCATTTGATAGCTTATGGGGCTTTCTAAGCGAACCCATGACTTTATTGATTGTGAATCCCATACACAGGAATCGGATACTTCGGAAACATCACTGCAACAGCTCATGTTAGACGACCATGAGTGGCCGGACATTGACGGTTCCTGTTCGAACAGTGTTGATAACTTAGTACTGCAGTAATCGTCGTCTGTTGGATATAGAATATACTGTTCGTAATCTGTATCGCTTTCCTGCAGCGTCTCAGAGTAGGTAACGAATTCCTCGTAGCTTATCGAGCGCATGTTGGGGCATAGTTTGGTCACGGGGCGATGGTACGTGCAGCGGGTATCTTGCACCCAGCGGCGCGGCACCATTAGCTCCTTTCTGGCACTGGGTAATTCCTTAAACTTGCTGGTATCGCCACCCATGGTGATTACCAACGTGCTGTAGAAGATACCATCCTCTATAAGTTTCTTCTTCTCTTGCACCCTGGAGAATACGTCCAACACATGCCCGAATGGTCCCATCTCATCGCGATCTAGCCCGTTCAATTGGCAAAGGATTTTGGGGGCCAGATAAGCGAAGCGTATATTCTTAAGCACATTACCCACACACGCCATCCGAGCGGGCCAGTCCACATCCAGCCAGTGCAGCACCCCATAAAGTAGCTAGAGAGGGGAAGAAACAATTAGAATCCAATCCTAATTGGAGCATTGCCAACCTCAGTTTCAGAGTTAACGGACAAAGAGCTGGACCTAAGCAGGGCGCATATCTGCATCTCGCTGAGGTGCAGAAATTCCTGACTGCAGATTATGATTAATGTCGACTTGGATATGCGGGTGGCCATTGCTTGGTTAATCTGATATAGCTCATGAAAATAACGTGACGTGTACATCACGGAAAAGGCCCAAAACTCCTTGAATTCATCGCAGTCGAGCATTGCGTAGCACTGCTCCAGCAGTTCTTGCATCTCCAGGAAACAGGCAGCGCGTACAAACCGCACCACATCCTTAGGCAAAAATGTCACATTCGATCTGATCATCCACTTGTAAATCTGCTCAAACGTGTCCGCCGTCAGCGGTGCCTTGCGCAAGTCGATTACAGTCTGGCCCCGGCACATGGCAAAGAAGTTAGAATAGCTGCCCAGCACAATGCCGGAACAGGCAAATTCGCGTAACTCGATCATTACAATTGTATCTGGGTCCTCGCCACGCTCTATGGTTCGTATTATTGGTCCTAACCTTGACTCTACCCTGTCCACCAATATCGGCTCGTTTAGCCGTTTGTTCCTTTCCTCTATACACTTCTTAGTGCACCTCTTGTTCACAGCGCACTTTTGTACGCATAACTTGTGTTGTAACTTGCCCGTCTTGTGGTTGGCAAACGCTTTTGCCATGTTATGCAGCTGTGGCTCTAGATCGCTCAGAAATAAAAGGAATTTATAATTAAGCTATGGTCACATGTGCCACATATCTTTCAGTTTGTTGAATATTAATATTATGTTGCAATGAATAGTCGAAAGAAACCACGTGGCAACACTAAATTCTTCATGCTTAAATTTACAATGAGCATGAAGACTTAATAAATCGGAGTTGTAATTAAGCGGGGATAACATGTGTCATATATCTTGCAGTTTACAAAATATAAATATTTTATTGCAATGAAATGCAAAAACCTTAAGGAGTTCTGGCTACTTATGGTCAATTTTAAATGTCCGTTACTCGTTGAGATAGAAGCTCAGGTCGGAAAATATAACCAGGTGGCAAAACTCAATTACTTCTTCATGTCAAATTTACAATGAACAAGGGGATCCTTAATAAAAGGAACTATAACTATATTGTGCCTCTTATTATTCTTCAACACTGGCAGCTTGTTAATGTATATGCCAAAATAGAATTCAAACTAGGCAATTTTTTTACGGCTGTTTTTTTCAACTTACGTCTTAAATTCTTTGACGCTGTTTACGAGCACTGGCAGCTCATCCTTGGAGAAATGGGCCAAATAAGGACGGCATTTATCCGTTTCTTTATTATTCATGTTTATTATAAATTTATTGACTATTGTATATAAAATATCTGCTTTTTGACTAACTCTAATAATGTGAGGTTTATTGGCGATTAAACTGAAATACTTCTCTGAGGTTGCTTGGTTCCAGTACTGAAATTTAAAAAGATTCATACAAATAGTTTCCACTGTCCAAAATGGAGGAGATTATAGTTAAAGATACAGATAAAAAAGCTAAGATATGGCGTATTCAAAACTACAAATATTAAGAAAATTTGTTTTTAGAGCATTAATATTTCCTGCCGAATCCGCTGAGATTTTGCGAATGTATATGTTAGCTTTTATTCTATCCAGTTTTCTTACTTGCTAAAGTCTCAGATATTTATAGATATCTTGAATCGTTGTAAATCATTACGTCCTTCTTCCTTAATTCATTTCAATGTTAACGCACTAGCTGGATGCTGATTAATTTTTCATTAAAGGTCAGCAAATTATGTCAGATTTTACGAGAACATTACCGAAAGATATTTTAAAAGGGGCCAAAGTAAAAGCATTGGTCAAAATGGTCGTTAGGTCGTCATCAAGATGTGAACGTCATAACTTGATTTTGTTGTAATACAAATAATTTGACATTTTAACAAAATTTCACAGACATAATTTTCCAGCAATTTCTCGGTTTCAATTGAGAAATGAAAAATAAATTGTTGCATGGCTGCGCAGTCAAGAGCGCATAGCATACTTTTGGGCGCAAGCAAAAAATAAAATACGTACTTTAATGTTAAAGAAAACTATGAAAATCATTTAATAAAATTTTCTTGAAAAGAAACTTGCAAATTCTTTAAATTCTTACAATTTATGTTGCTGGTACTTCTTCGGCAAATTTGCGTTTTAGTATGAATTGAATTTACGATTTTGCGACTTGAAAAATATGTAATTGCTTAAATTAATTATCTTAAATGTTGTGCACTGCATTATAAATAACTAGAGACACATTTAATAACACAACAAGTTGTTTATTAAGCAGTGATAACAAAATACAAACAAGAACTTTGCTAACGAATACTCCCTGCGGCGCTATACTCTGTTCCATGTGCAAAAACAATTCACACACTGCTGCTGGTTTTCTCTTAAAACTTGTGAAATATCCTATCATTTTATCATTATAATATTATAATAATTATTGTTGTAAAATTTTAATTAAAAAAATTTCTTAAGTACCCTTTTAAAATTGAAAAATGTACCTTTATTTTCAAACATATTTGGCAGTGGGTATATCAAAATATGTTTGTGGCCTTATAATAAAAGATATCATATACTAGTTCGTAACTATTGCTTGTGAGACATAAAAAATAATGCAAGCAGCATTCAAGTCAATAAAAGAGAGGTTCACAAAAATCCAAAACATTCGTGTCTTAGAGAAAAGACATAGAGTATAAAAACGCAAGAAAAAAAAAAACAGAAGAAATAAGACGTCGCCCCTTTGCGTTCCTCAAAAATTCATGACAAGACGCACAAAGTGCTCAATTTTATGAAATGAAAACAGAAACTGGCAGTTGTTACCCTCGCCCGATGTCGGCTGTACACTGCCTGCTCCTCCAATGCTCAAGTCCTCGCCGACGACCGCATACTTGCGCACGGCTGCTGTTTTTTCTTCTTCTTTTTTATGGTTTTGCATGAAATATGCAAAGGTGAACGTTTGACAAAATGATTTCCTAAGCTGCCGCTAAATTGTCAAATATTAACGTGTTGTGCGTCGCTTGGCAGCCAGAAAGATGACATCAGTATGGATGCCCAGCTGTAGATACAGAAGCAGAGATACATTTATACCTAGCTACACAAATGCATTTGCAGTTGCAGTTTTTTCTTTTTGGGTGAGTTGCACACTTATTGCATCACACTGGGAATGCGGAAAATGCTGACGCATGCGGTCGGTAGCAATGACATCACTTTACACGCACGATTTGTGGCAAATGCTGCCATAATTTTTGCCTCGATGCTGCGGCGAGTGGGCGCAGGATGACCAATGCAAGATGGCGACGACTTCCGCGCGCGCACACAAACGGAAGCCAGCTACGTCGCTGTTTGTATGTGTGCCTGCTTGTGTGTGTCGCCATTGTCAACGTTCGTCTTTGCCATTTGGCCCACACACTCGTGCACACCAACACACACACACACTCTTGCCACGCTGGCATTTGGCTGGCGTCCAATAAGCGCCCATCATTTTTGAGTACAGTCAGCAAAAAAGCTTCGGCTCACAAACCAAGATGTAAAATTGTGTTGCATACCTTGCAGCGTTCTGGCCCTAGGTGACAGCAATTAGCGTCTGACAGCTAACTCCATTTCAGTCCACATGACTGACACAGCCAATGGACAACTGAACCGAAACTTTTTCCCAAAATCCCAAATGTCCAATCTCCTCAACGCTCTGCCCCGCACCAGGCAAAACTTGCCTTAATTTGTGATAAAATCTCAGTTCGCAAAACGTAAAAATGCAACGAATTGAAAACTAACTTCCTTCTGCCCGTGAACGAAAATAGCCTCCGGTAAATTTACTACTTTTAAGGAAGTTCGATTCGACAACAGAATTTAAAACGGGTTCTGCCTGACATCAGCTAACTATCAGCTATTAGGAGGATATGTTGGGTACAAATAAACATTATTAATATATAATATATTATTGTTATAAGACACACATGTTTTCATTGAGATTTCCGACTAGCTCGGTATGTCTAATGTATCGCAGATTGCCTTTTGGGCTCAGGCAACAGCCTATATAAAAAGCATTTTATATATGTTTTTATGGTCGCATTATGATTTGTTGTTTTCTTCGTTTATATGTCAAGTCTATATTTGTACAGCTCTATTACGAAAGGCCATTTCCAAGAAAATTGATGCATACATAAGAACACGCTTAGCTGCTTTTTATAACCCATATTCTAGACCCATCAGAAATTGAATTTACTTAGAATATATCGACTTAGAGGCCTAAGTTAAAACATAAAACCATGAAACTACATGACATCAGCTGAACATAAAACTCCAACAACTGTTAGCGGCCATAATTGGACGTCTTAAACAATTTCTCAGAACTTACTGGACTATTAATCCGTCAATTGGATAGTACAAGAACTGGACTTATAGTTGACCTGTTGTCAATGCCCACTTAAGAGCAGCAATAAGCTGACATCATGCGCTGAAGATGGCGTGCCAAAGAGCTCTTGTTATAGCAGCAACGCCCGACCCGCCCCTAGCCGTCCCTTAGCAAATCGGTCCAATGCAAATGTGCGGCAGCAATAAAATTGCAAACTTGCCGCAATCGCCTTTCAATGGAACAATGAGCCAATGCTCTGAATGGCAACTGAGCATTGCCATCAGCGCAGTTTTGGCGGCAAACGCCTACGCGACACACACACACGCGCACACAAACACGCATAGTGGCTGTGGCAGACAATTGTCTGGTTGTGTGTGTGTGTGTTTTGGTGTTGGTCATGGCACTCATTTCTGGCTTGCGGCTGCTTCAAAAATCACTCATTGAGAACGCCACGCACACACACAGCCTAACAAATGGCTTTATATCCAACTATATATCTATGCATATATATATTTGCCTTTATGTATCTATGTATTTGGTATATGTGACTTTTTGTTAGTTTTGCTAGTTGGCAGCCAAAGCTGATTGCACGCGTGGGTGTTTTGCGTTTGGCGCTTTGTCTGTGTGTTGTTTTCATATCCCAAATACATATTTGTACTAGCCAGCAATTTGTTGTAAACTACTACGATCCCACTGCACATTCTATCTCGCTCTAGCAGCCTATGTGTGTATGTGTGCGTGTGCCTGTCTGTGTGTGTCAGTATGTGTGTGTGTGCGTCATTAAGTTTCATTTTATGACAGTAGCAGAAACAGTTGACGCAGCGTCTCCACTTTCAAAACTGGAAATTCCAAAGGCGCGTGGGCGTCCTGTCAAGACAATGTGCTGTACCCCCTTTTAGCCCACCCACAACTCCCAACCGCTCCACCGCCTTTCCTTACTGCGCAGGAGTTGGGAGCACTGTTCTGTATGCCCGTCGCACGTCGCTGATTTCTATACCCTCCATCCATAGTTTAACAGCGTATATTACTTTTAGTGGAAATATATGTGACAGGCAGAAGAAAGCAAGAAGAAAGAATGCATAGCCATGTTAATGTCAAAAATTATAAAAGCTAAAGAATTACAAATTTTGAACCAATCAATAAGATTGATATCGATATGCTGTTTTATGGGCTTAATTCAGATCTTAGAAAATCTAGGAACACCAAATTTGGTATGTTAACTCTTGTACAGTATACACATATCCAGAATAGTGCAGTTTTTAATGAACTTCCCACAATCCAACCAAGAATTGTGAAGTTTTAATATTTGGGTGTTAGAGCCTTGGTTTTAAGTACAGGGTATTTCGTAATCGGTTACTCTCGAGCATTCATACTTATTCTTAATGGAATTTATGCGAGTGTGAAATTTATGTTTGCAAAAATATTAGTGGACTGGCGCATACTATTTTTAGTCGCTCCGGCTAGGAGAAAACAAAAAGTTATTAAAAGGCATAGCCTGATTTTTTTCTGGGCACGTATTTCGCCTAGGCGAATGGGTAAACCCGCATGCCGAATATTTCTCAGATTGGCACGCTTTAATTGTGGCGCGTGGGATAGTCGTTTGGTTGGATGCCAATTTGTATTGGCATATTTTATCTGTTGTTGTCTGCCTGTGGCCAGAAATTACATCAGCGTATATGGTTCATACGTCAAGCTCTCGAATTGAGATGAATAAATACGTGAACGGTTGAATACGCATTACGACTCTTTTTTGTCTATTTACATGGCTTGAATTTGCGTCATGTTTATTTTCTTACTCCCACAGTTTCCTTTTGTTTTGCGTTTACTAAAGTTTATTCATATGCGGAAATTCGCGTCATGACCTTTCCAGAGTTGTCAATATAGCTGAAGTCCTGCCCGGTTTGAAGTCCCTTAAATATGTGTATCTAAAATATATATCTTAAATCTGCCCACAGAAACAATTGGTTGAAAAACAACTTTCCAAAATAACTTCGAAATCTATTAAA